TTATATTTATATTATTATGATTATATAATTAAATATAAAAAAATTCAATATTAAAATATTTAAAGGTATTAACGAGACGATTATAATAATATAACTTGTTAAAATAAAAATATATTTTTAACGTATTTTAGTTTAATATAAGATTATATATGTTAATGTGATAAAAGTGTAAAACGAAAAATGAAAAAGTAAAGGATGTATTCAAAAATTAAATAAATATAATGGTATAAAGTATAAGTGATAAAAATATTCTTTTGTAATATATATCATATAATAATATAATTTAAATCAAAAAATATTCAATATTAATAATATTCGAAGGTATTGAGAAGACAATTTWTAATGGTATAACTTGTTAAAATAAAAACATATTTTTAAATTAATATACAATTATGTATGTTAATGTGATAAGGATATAAAACGAAAAATGAAAAACAAAGGGACATACCATAAATTACATAATAACTACAAAAGTATAAGTGTTAAAAATATTTTTTTTCGTAGTAATATATGATATAATAATATAATTAAATAAAAAAATATTTAATATTGGATTTATTTTGAAGGTAGTGACAAAACGATTATAATGATGTAACTTGTTAAAATTAGAACGTATTTTTTAAAATTAAAAAATAGAAAAAACAAAACTAAAAAATTAAATTAATTAAGTAACTATAGAATATGAAGTATATAATTTTAAAATTAAAAAGTATATTAAAAAAAATGAGTATGTAAGATGAACAAGATGAATAAAGGGTATGAAAATACTTTCTGAGAGGTTAATTTCGTTGTTAGATCTAATTTTAGTTAATATAAAATTATATATTTCAACGTAATAATGGTGTAAAACGAAAATTGAAAAAAATAAATGATTTATCATAAATTAAATAAATAACTATAAAAGTATAAAGTGTAAATATTAAAAATATTTTTCATAGTATATATCATATATAATAATATAATTAAGTCAAAAACTATTTAATATTGGACTCATTTAGAAGGTATTAATGAGACGATTATAATGGTGTAACTTGTTAAAATAAAAATCTATTTTTTAAACATGTTTTATGATATACGATTATATATGTTAATTTGATAAAGATATAAAAAAAAATATAAAAAAAAATAAACGTAAAATAAATTAATTAACTAATTATAGGGTATAAAGTATAACTTTAAAATTACAATTTTGAAAAATTCGGTTTACATTATTTAATAATATACTTCTCTGTCATGAAATGACCATACATGCAACCTTTTTTACCCATCTTAACCATTTCTTTTCTTTTGTTTTTATCTTGATATATATTCTTGTACAAATGCTAGTATATGTTTATACTATATTATATCATTGAGTTCTAATAGAATACTTAATTATTATCTTTATAAAATATTATATTTTTAAACTAAGATTAAATTATTTCGTTATTTGATTACTTTACTATATTATAAAAATCATTTTTTA